TAAAGAAAGATAGCATTTCACATGCATTTCGACATGTAGGCTTATTTTAAAATAGACTAATATGTATATGGTGTGAATTGTTTAATGTTGTGTATAAACTATATTTATTTTTACTTGTACATGTTAAAGAAATAAAATAATAATAATAAAAAAAACCTGTAAAACTGTAATAATAATATCTAGATGGTGAAACAAGACACAATTTTTAATAGTTTCAAATAGTTTTTACTGTAGTTTTTATTAATTTTAATTTGAAAGTCATAGTTAAATAAATGTACTTAGATATTGCTTTTTTGACTTATTTACATATGTAACTTGAAGTAATCCAAAAGTAATCAGATTACATTACTTTTATATTGTGGTACTTGGATTAAATTACTGAATACTTTTTAAATGAAGTAATTTGTAACTGTAACGGAATACATTTTAAAAGTAACCCTCCCAACCCTGTTTAGGAGCATATGTGTGAATAAAGTCCCATGGGTCTTTAAAAAGTCTAAGAAAATGTAATTCATAAAAAGGTCATAAAATGCACAAATAGCATAACAAATGTATTAATAATATTTTTAAGAGGTCTTAAATTTTGGGATGGAAAAACAGGAATTGCGATACAGTCTACTGTGATTAAGTTTAAAAGGCTGCAATTTTATGAAATAGATGCGAACACTGCACATTTAAAGTCTAAACATGGCGCTGTTGCGTGTTCTACAGGCTCACGCACAGAGCAGTTCACAATCAATGAATATTGCACATTTATGCCACGCAATTGGTTATGATGGACTGTTGATGAATTATGCCAATGGTGTTTACATTGCAATATGTTGTAGATGACTGTAAGAGTGCATATTTTATCTCCCTCATCTTTTTAAATGAGTAGCCAGCAATACAAAAAGCACATACATTTCAAAATAATAAGAGTCCTTGAGAAAAAAAGTAAGCATCAAGCCCTGATGGGGCTGAGTTTAATATTTAGTTTAAAGGTGACATCGGATGCAAAATTCACTTTTACATGGTGTTTGCATATAAATGTGTCTTAGCAGTGTGTGGACACAACCACCCTACAATGCTAAAAATCCATTTACTCCTTTTTTATCCCCAAAAAACCTAAACAGTCTCAATTATCAAGCCATTTTGACCGCCCATGACCGCAGAGGGACTGTCCCATATTAGCATATTTCCACCCTCAGCCAGTTGTATGCTGTCCGCCATTTTCTCTGTGCTCAAGCAGCTGTAGCGGCAACAATGTCTTGTAAGCAATGCAGGTGTTTTGTAGTTGGATGTAGAAGTGAACAAAGTGTCTTCATTTTCTCCCGACATCAGAGCCACTGAGGACACGCAGTGGATTAGTTTTGTTTTTGATGGTAATGCATCACCGAATACACAAAAAAATGGAAGAGAGGGGTGGGGTGAGCAGTAGCTCATTAGAATTTAAAGAGACATGCATGTAAAGAGAGCTGTTTTTGACAAGGTAAAAAGGATGTTGTTTTACATGGCCATTGAGGAGTTTTAACCAAAGTGTGTTACAGGCATTTCATGAAGACTCTAAAGAATCATACCAACTTGTGGAAAATGGGCATCCGATGTACCCTTTAATATTTAGGGTTAAGGGCTCTGAAAAATTTTCCCTTTAAGTATAAGTAGTGGTCCTTGCTAGGGCATCAATATTACTAATTTTTTTATTAAATTTTTTATTTTTATTTTACAGCAGTCAATGAGAAGTCACCATAATTCTACAGCTACATTAACTTGTATACCTAAGAACTGTTGTATCTCTGCACGTCTCTTTAATGTGGCTTTGATGAGGTCAGGTGGTACGTCTGGGAGCTCGGCTACTTCTCTGTATGTGTTCAGTGCCTTCAGGAGCATCTCATTACTTTGAATTTTCTCTGCCAAATAATCTTCTGCCTGGACACATACCACACATCTCAGAAAAAAACAACAACTATTTTGTTAAGGATTTTTTACTGAAGCCAAATAATGAGAGTGACCATGATGTTAACTTTAATGATTATGTGTTACCTGGGCTTTGCCGTATCGGCATCTCGGACTTTGTGGGAATTTCTGGACAAGAGCTTCAAAAGCACGGAGAGATTCCTTAAATTTTCCCTGAAAAAAAAATGATTTTTTTTAATATATATATAATTAAAAAAAATACTGTCTGCAAAATTTTACAAAAACATTTCATTCCTCTGGTAATATACTAAAAACACATTTTTACAGTATAGATTTTTAACTTATTGCGTAATTTCTCTGCAGCACTGATCTCAGATTTGATTATTTTGTCAAATTTATTAAGAAGTTTTGGTTTCTTCTTTTTTGCTGCAAAAGAATTCACCACAGCATCAGACTCACAGTAACTTAAAGGGGTCATATGATGCGATTTCAAGTTTCCCTTTCTCTTTGGAGTGTTACAAGCTGTTCGTGAATAGATAAGATCCCTAAAGTTGCAAAGACTAAAGTCTCAAACCCAAATAGATATTCTTTATAAAAGTTAAGACTCGTCCACGCCCTCCTAAAACGCCTCGTTCAAACACGCCCCACATGTCTACGTCATGATGTGGGAAGATTTGCATAACACCACCAAAATGTTCACGCAAAAGAAGGCGTAACTTTATTGTTGCTGCCACCGCCGCCGCCATGTTGTGAAGACGCAGTGCATTTCGTTGTGAAAGCGAAAATACTTTGTTTGGCCTTCCAAAAGGGGACACGACTAGAAATCAGTGGTTAAATTGTATTTAAGTTGTGAAAGCGAAAATACTTTGTTTGGCCTTCCAAAAGGGGACACGACTAGAAATCAGTGGTTAAATTGTATTTACAACACTGTTCCAGAACAGTTCAACCCAAATATTCAAATGTGTGCAGCACATTTTATGGAGGGCTGTTTCCTGATCCTGGGAGAGTACACTACAATGCCGGCTGTTCTGACAAATAATGCTGACTCACACTCTGATATTCACAGTCTGATATTCGCGATGGCGCCAACGCTGATGGTTGCCTCCGTGGCGTGCTCCGCAGTTGTTTTTATGTTTTTGTTAGTTTGTCCTGTCTTTAGTTATATCCCTGCAATCAGTTTCACCAGAGACGAATTGCTGGACATTCGGAAGTACACACCACCCGATATTTCACCGGTTTTCGATTATTCTGATGTTTTGCTGGACATTGTAGTCGGGGGAGCAGCGGCGCTGATCAGTGTAGAGTAGCGCTTGTTGTTTGTAATTTCTCCGATCACAGATGCAGACATGGTTTTATGCAATGCAACGTGTAAAAAGACAGTATAAGTCATTATAATCCGTAATTATGTCCCCACTGGATGCAACAAATGCCTTGTTTATAATGGGTTTTAATGTTTTTGTCTCGTCGCGCCAGGACATGGCATCACAGTATGGTAAGGGGCGTAACATTTCCGTCACACGCTTGAGGTATTCGGCCAATTACAACGCACTGGATAGCTGGCCAATCAGAGCACACCTCGCTTTTCAGACCGATGAGCATTGTAAAAATCGACGCGTTTCAGAAAGGCGGGGCATAGAGGAGAAACAATAATGTACAGTATGTGGAAAATAATGTTTTTTTTTTACCTTAAACTGCATAAACACATTTCATTACACTAAATACACAAAATAATGTTCTTTTTAGCAACATCATATGACCCCTTTAAAAGAACTTAATAAATCAAAGACGAAGTGTGTAATATTTGTTTATTTGTATAGTGCTTTTCACAACAAGTATCTATTTCAAAGCAGACTAATTAAAAAAATAAATGAATAAATAAATAAATAAATATACATAAGCAGAAACAAAAAATAGGTTGATTTCCCCCAAAAAGTGTGCTGGCTGTGGTTGTGTGGGGCTATCAGAACATTGTTCTGTTTGTTTAAACAGAACAGTATTAAAAGCAAGCTCAACATACCTTCTTTTTCTTCTTTGGACTCTACTGAGGGTTCTTCTTTGAATTCTGTTGTCTCAGTAATTGATTCAGGTGTGGAGACTGATGTAGGCACAGGTTGAGTTGCAGGTGGCAACTCTTGTGAAATTTGGTTTGCAGGTCTTGATTCCTCTGTTTTGAACTCTAATGAAGGTTCAGCATCGGATGCAGACCCATGTGGAGAGTGTGATGGGGATTCTTTTCAGGACACATATAGTGTACTTTAGCTTATAAATATAATAAAAAAGTACACATTACATAAATTATGCATAAGTATTTTAGTAAAATATTTCTCTTACCTTTGTTTTCACCAGGTAGAGATTCTGCACGTAAGTCTGAAATGCCACAAATTACAACAAAATTAAAAGAAAGAAAGAAAGAAAAAACATCATTCACACTTCTGTACATTTAAAACATACTATAGAACAACTACAGACATTAGAGATTTGAAGACTAATGCAGAATTCAAACTAGCACTGAACATAATTTCATTTAACAAAATAAATAGTTAATAGTTGTTACAAACTTTGCAAAATACTGCATTATATTCATGCACATTAAGATACTCAAGAACCCTAAGGGCTAGAAACAAAATTAAAATTCTGTCTTCATTTCCAGTTTCATTTCTGCCTTTTCCATCATATTTGATTTGGTAAATATATATAGGAATTAATTAGTCTAGATGTTTTATTTTTTTCACGAACTGACCTTTATCTTCTCCTGGCAACATCCAAACTTTATAAAACTTGAAACATATAGACGCATAAAAATGACTCCTATAGGGGGTGCTACAACCGGAAGTCATTACTAAAGCATTAACCATATGATCAGTGCAGTTGAAAATTGGTATTCACCTTCTTTGTGGGACGTTGTAACATATGCTCTAATATAACTTGAACAAAGGTTGATTTGAACAAAAAGCAGTGGACTTATTAGACTTGAGATGTTTGTGCAAAATTTGAAAACAAAAATCACAAAGATTTTACAGACGTAGTTTTATATAATGCAGTTTTTCTCAGAAACACAAGTATCTGAGACTATATACATGCAACCCTGCTCTGTATCAATATGAATCTTTTAAAGCTAAAATGCAAAAAAAAAAAAAAAAGATAGACAGACATTCTGAGTACATGCACCAAGTCACATTAAACTATGCCAACAGGGGGTGCTACATCAACAACAAAAATGCTCGTAACAAACGAGCTGTATGATCATTCAAGCTGAAAATGGCTATGTGGTGTCTTTGGAGGAGATTGTAACTAAATATCACTTGCATTTAAAAAAAACAAAAAAAAAACTGTCCACCAGGAGCCAATCAAACTTCAGCAGCTTATTAAGTCATATCTGAATGGCTGACTGATGATATTTGGTACATATGCAGAAGGATTCTAGATTAAGCTGTGTATTAAATTTGGTGCAAATCAGCCACAAGGTGGCACTGTAAATAAGAATAAGACATCCAATAACTCTGGAACCATAAAGGTCAAATTTAGTTTCTCCTTTGAATCAGTTGATCATGCATATTCCCCCCAAAATATATATATATATATATATATATTTTTTTTTTTTCCGTCATTTCAAGTTACCTACTTTTTACATTAACCTACTTTTTCAAACTCACCCTAGGCCGTTTATTTGAGTCACACAAAATCAGGCATTTACCATATTGAGGCACTTATAAAAGTTAACAGAAGGATTATTATTTGTGAAGATATGGGCCAATATATTTTTGGATGGCGCATAATGACTAATTGTCTTATATCTTGTGAATGCAATGTCCAAACTTATCTTGGAACACATGGTCAACACTGAGGAAACATGCCAAAATTTAAGGAATTTCTAATGCTTCGGGGGGCTAACAGCAATTTATACTGTATTTTTGTAATAAATACATAAATAAATAAATTCTAGCATTTCTACCAAAGAAAACAGCAGAAATGAAGGCCATAATACTAATACTGTCAGAAAATTAGAAATCCTTTAAGGTCTCAGAGATTAAAATCTGTGCCAATGGTTCAATAGATTGACTTTAATTAACCAATACATACAAATCATTCATTAGTTTAATATTGTTTAATACAACTTATTTGCAAAAAAAAAAAAACTGTGATCGTGAAGGCTTTAGGTAATTAAATATTACTTACATTTTCTCAACTCTGGCCCTCAAGGTCCGCTTTCCTGTAGATTTTTGCTACATCATTGATCTAACCGATCTGCCTGTCACTTTCTAGTAATCCCCTGAAGACCTAGCTTGTTCAGGTTTATTTGGTTAAAGTTGGAGCTAAACTCTCCAGGACCGGGGACTTTTATATTTATTTAATATAATTTCAAATATCAGTATTCAACGTTTTATGTTTAAAATATCAAAACAGTATTAATGCATTTGTAACTACAGGTTAAAACATTAATGTCCTGCATTAAACAGTGTGTAAATGCATCTAAATGCCCCTTCTAATGCAGCTTCTGTGTTTTCTCTGCATTGCAAAGATTACTTTTTGTCAATACTGATTTAATTTGCTTGGTAACAGCGAAAACTTTAAATCGCATCATATGACCCCTTTAAGAATTTGACTGAAAAGATGATGCACACTTTAGAAATGGCTTTATAACGGTAAAAATGCCCATAAAAGGTAAAAATCGATTTAAACTTATTGGAAAAGATTAATTTCTATCACTGCTGTGAACTGATCATCACACAGAATATGCAGAATATCAAAAACTTTAGGAGTCAGCTGTCCACGGTTGTCCTTAAGATATCAGCACAATAACACACTCAGCAAGATATCATCTAATTATCGTCATCGATAAAATCCCAGAAAATATTGAGATATATTTTTTTGTCAATATCGCACACCCCTAATATATTTAACGTTTTGATTAGAAAAAAAAAAGTAAATAAATATGAGAAGTGCCCTTTTTTCCACTAGAGCCCCTGCCCCTCAAAATGTCTGTGCACGTCCCTGCCGGGGACCTTGAGGGAAAGATGTGAGAAACCCTGTCCTAATGACAGAAAAATGCATTTGTCTAGTTGCCAGACACAACTAAATGTATTTCTGTCTAATTAAAACAAATAGACCATGTTATCTGTTTCTTTTTACATAATACATAGAATAACACTTCATAATAATAATACTTAAAGAGATATTAAAGAATCATATTTGAAAAGAGACATGGCTATTGTGTCACCATATCCATACCGTCTACATGAGCCACTGGTGCTTGGACCTTGATATTTACTGCCTGCAGCTAGATACTTGCAAAGTCACAGCACCAACTACTGGTAAAAATATATGAAAAATTGATATTTTTGATTGCAACTTCTGAACAGTTTTATACTTTATTGATTTATTTTTTGATTTGGTGCAAGATACAGAGTTAAACGATGTTGGTCATTTTGAGCACCAGCTATTTTTGTCACAGAGTACAACAATAACAAATATGAGAATACAACTGTTCATCACAGTACTATAGTTTGGAAAATACTGTGGCATCGCCAGTATTTTGAGGCTTGGCCAGCACCGGTATACCATGGAACCCTAGTCTGTCATGGCATGAGGAAATGCTTCTACCGTTTCCTTACCTCTTTCTCCTAAGGGGTTCTCGGTTGATGCCACTGTAACAGGCTTCTCAGTCAGACCTGTATGAATGTTGAGTAAAATCAGACACAATCCCATCAGGAGAAGAAAAAAAACAACCTCACAAGGACAGTTTTTTTCTGCAATGGAATTCTACAAAAAGTACCATAGAAAATTAGAGTATTGCTATCATGCAACATACAAATAAAATTAATATTCATCTTGGGTCAATAAGAATACAAATAAACTTATCAATGCACACACAATGTATTAACCAGACCAAGTATAATTTAAATAAGGGTGGGAGGGACTGAGGCACTTACCTAGATACATTTTTAGAACATGTAACTACACACTTTAGTTTCAGTGAACATATTTGATAAACCATTTCAATGAATATATTAGCAAATAAAAATTACATCACTTTTAAAAAAGTACTTTGTCTTATCCTAGTCAAATATGCACAATAAGATATGGTCTTTCGCATGTTGAAAAGCATTGCGGTTTGTTGAAACAGTCAGACACGTAACACAACTAGTTTGAGTAATGGCAGATGGGACAATTGCTCAGAAGGCTTTTTAATATTTATATTTTTATTTATTTTTCAGAAACCTATCTAGAAACATTACTTTTGTCTGTTTGGTAGCACTAGTGGTAAAGAAACACTTCAACTTCAACACACTAACAACATTCTACTATATAATTATTGTTATATGATTAACATAATTAAACCTTAAAATGTTTCACACACACACAAAAAAAAAAATGTTTCATACAATAATACATTGGTTATCCATCAAAGAACTGATAAGATCACTAATACTAGACAAAATTAACCCAAAATGTAAACACGTACATAAAGCAACTATCAGTTAAAATATATATTTATATAATTTTGCAGACACTGTCTGGTCTGAACATTTTGTTTCAAATAATAAAAAAAAAGTTTAAAGACAGTAGGTTAGACATACACTAGTCTAACAGCTGCTGTATAAATATAAGCAAATGTTAAAAACTTGATCCTCATTGTAGCTGCATAGCTTCACTTCCTGAACTTGGAGAGCATATTATTTCTTCATAAGCTCTTTCACTGGCTCAGAAAAAGCAGAACTGATGCTTAATCAGCACTCATAACCTGATATGTTTTGCACTTTTGTTCACACTGCACCCAAGTATAATTTGTTTTTCAAATATGACCCTTTTGGACAGACTGTCTGCACTCATTTTGCAAGTAATCAGATGAAATTGGATCAGTCTGTACAGTATATCTACACTGAATGTCATAGTAATTATTTAAGTGCCAGCAAGAGGCTTTCTTCAACAAGAAGTGAAAACAACTGTCAGTGTGAATAGAGTTGAAAAAAAAATCTGCTCATGTTCGTTATGAAATGAAAGTGTTTTACACATTCATGTACATACAATGTTTAAAACCACTCACTCATCTGCTCATTCAAAAATCGCTACAATCAATGTCACAGTTTACTATATGAACAAATTCAGGCACATCTGTACACACCACCGTGTTGTGACATATGCCATGTTGCAAATGAAAAACAAAGACTGAAATATAATGATCTTTCAGATTGAAGTGCAATTTCAAAACTTCTAATTATTACTGCATTTCAAGTCACTAAATGGATTTGAGTTAGCAGCACCATTATATAACCCCTTTTTTGTTATGTGATTTTGTGAGCAGTCATTGAGGCTCCCAAGTCAAGTTTACACCTGGCATTAACTTGTTCTGTATACACATAGTATCTGAATATTGTTTAGCTTGACTGCATTTATGCCTTCATTCCGGTTTCCAGTGTGATCAGATTTTTTTTTTTTTAAATAACAGGAAATTGTACAGTGTTCGATTATCTCCAAAACAGATGAACGTGCCAACACGAGCGTGTGGCGGCGCCGGCGCTGACCCAGATCCGGCGTGATGACGTCATTACGCCGGATCTGGGTCAGCGCTGCCACACGCTCGCGTCATGGTAGATGAACAAAGGTCTTACAGGTTTGGAACAACACGAGGGTGAGTAATTAATGACAGAATTTAAATTTTTGGGTGAACTAACCCTTTAAATAGAGTTATATGTTGGTTATAATATCGGCCGAACAAATACATTTTCATGTTTGCATCACATGAATATGTATTGTTTTCCTGATGTAGTAAACTTGCTTAGTAGCTCACCATTGCTCTTGCATTGTGGAGTGCTCTGGTACTCGTGAACACGCGTCCACAAGTGACGCAGTAGAGACGAAAATGTGGAATAAAGTCGTTATTTTTGTTTTCTTTGCGCAAAAAAGTATTCTCGTAGCTTCGTAACTTTACAGTTGAACCACTGATGTCACACGGACTACTTTGTCGATCATCTTGGTACTTTTCTGGACCTTGAACGTGGTAGTTACCTTGCTGTCTATGGGCCATCGGCCACCTTGCTCTCTAAGGTATCAGCATTGGCCATCAAAAGAATCCATATCGGTTAATACTGATAGTATCGACAGTATTGTACAAGGAACCACGTGAAAATAATTATGTATTAATCAACTGCCCTGTAATCATAATTCATAAGAATAAACGTTCTTGGTGTTTTACTGTTTTTACTGGTGTATTAGTGTTTTAGTTCAAAACCGCAGTGAATTGTATGTATAGCTACTTTTTTCCTTACTGAAGTCGCCTGCAAGATCATTGTACTCTCTGGGAATGGGCATCTGGGACTCATTGCTCTCTATACTGGTTAAGAAAACAGATAAGGAAAATGCGCATTTACACGTTCATTCAAAGGGGTCAAAAGTCAACCCTAAACCAGACCACCACCAAACTTTTGTGGTTTGAGAGATCCGATCACTATCTGATAATGTAACTTGGGTGTATTTACTTCACTTGGCTTTTAATAAGGTCACAATTGTCATTCGATCCCCGAAAACAGATTAATGCCATGTGTAAAGGAGCCCTAATTAGTGTATAATCAAGATATCCTTAAAAAAAGTAGTTCTGTACAGTACAAGCTACAAACAAAGAGCTGCTTACTAAACTGAAGCTAAGAGTATACACTTTATAAATACATAACTTTTAATTGATATTTAATTTCGCAACTAGAGCAGTTTTTATCTGGCACGAAAAAATTGTATAATAAATATTAACAGAGTAAAATTATTAAAACACACTAATGTATATAACTCACTAAATATTTTTAAAATGCAGTCTGGACTTCTGTGCAGGCTAAATCACTTATTGCAGAGGTTTTCAACTCTGTTCCTGGAGTCCCCCAACACTACACATTTTGAATGTGTCCCATTTCAGATCTTGGTGTCTTCTACTGAGACCTGAATGATGACCTGAATCAGGTGTGTTTGATTAAAGAGAAATGCAAAATGTGACTGGTTGGAGAGGGCTCCAGGAACAGGGCTTAAAAACACTGGCTTGTTGGATCTAAGAAATCATGTTTATTTACATGAAACATCCAAGCGAACCAATACACTTCCCAACACAGTGAGTTGACAGTTGGGTTATTACCTCCTTCACTCAGCTGTGCCATGGTACCAACAGCAATGTAGTGTTTTGTTACACTACACCACTACTTGTTTGAAAAAAGTAGCTTGTTAGCGTTTTGAACAGCTGAATATTGTCACACTACTGAAAAAAATGTGTTGTATTTTTAGTTATTTACTATGCAGGGCTGTTCCTAGTAAATGCCTTAGGAGTTTTTATTTCCAAACCTCTTAAATCAAATCTCACAGTTATGGCAGTTTACTATTATTTCTTGATATTTTTTTCGAAGATTTAAGTAAACCACGAGTAGATATTTTCTCTTCTTTGGTATTTTTTTCATCAGCTGATTCTTTTTCATTTTCTGATTGATCAACGTTTTGTCCATGAGCTTTTTTATTTAATTTGGCCTCTTTTTCTTTGTAATTGTTCACATTTTTTCTTTCCTTCTTTACATCTTTCTCTGTTTGCCCCTTTGATGCACTCTCTTTTACTTTGTTAAGCCTTTCTTTCTCAACTTTCTCTTTCTCCAGATTTCCCTTTTCTGCCTTTTGTTTGGCCAGTCTTTCCTTTTCCACTCTCTCTTTCTCCAGCCTTTCTTTTTCTGCTATCTCTTTAGCCAATCTTTCTTTTTCTGATTTTTCTTTAGCGAGTCTCTCTTTTTCTGCCTTTTCTTTCTCAAGTCTTTCTTTTTCTGCTCTTTCTTTAGCCAGTCTCTCTTTTTCTGCCTTTTCTTTCTCAAGTCTTTCTTTTTGTGCTATCTCTTTAGCCAATTGTTCTTTTTCTGCTTTTTCTTTAGCGAGTCTCTCTTTTTCTGCCTTTTCTTTCTCAAGTCTTTCTTTTTCTGCTCTTTCTTTAGCCAATATTTCTTTTTCTGCTTTTTCTTTAGCCAGTCTCTCTTTTTCTGCCTTTTCTTTCTCAAGTCTTTCCTTTTCTGCTTTTTCTTTAGCAAGTCTCTCTTTTTCTGCTTTTTCTTTGGCCAATCTTTCTTTTTCTGCTTTCTCTTTCTCTAGTATCTCTTTTTCTGCCGTTTCTTTCTCAAGTCTTTCCTTTTCTGCTTTTTCTTTAGCAAGTCTCTCTTTTTCTGCTTTTTCTTTGGCCAATCTTTCTTTTTCTGCTTTCTCTTTCTCTAGTCTTTCTTTGTTTTTCTTTAGCCAATCTTTCTTTCTCTGCTTTCTCTTTCTCCAATCTTTCTTTTTTCGCTTTTTCTTTAGCCAGTCGTTCTTTTTCTGCTTTCTCTTTCTCTAGTATCTCTTTTTCTGCCTTTTCTTTCTCAAGTCTTTCCTTTTCTGCTTTTTCTTTAGCAAGTCTCTCTTTTTCTGCCTTTTCTTTGGCCAATCTTTCTTTTTCTGCTTTCTCTTTCTCTAGTCTTTCTTTGTCCGCTTTTTCTTTAGCCAGTCTTTCTTTTTCTGCTTTTTCTTTCTCAAGTCTTTCTTTTTCTGCTCTTTCTTTAGCCAATCTATCTTTTTCTGCTTTTCCTTTAGCGAGTCTCTCTTTTTCTGCCGTTTCTTTCTCAAGTCTTTCTTTTTCTGCTTTTTCTTTAGCCAATCTTTCGTTCTCTGCTTTCTCTTTCTCCAATCTTTCTTTTTTCGCTTTTTCTTTAGCCAGTCGTTCTTTTTCTGCACTCTCTTTCTCCAGTTTTTCCTTTTCAGCCTTTTCTTTAGCAAGTCTCTCTTTTTCTGCCTTGTCTTTGGCCAGTCTTTCCTGTTCTGCTTTTTCCTTAGCCATTTTTTCTTTTTCTGCCCTCTCTTTCTCCAGTTTTTCTTTCTCCGCTTTTTCTTTAGCCAATCTGTCTTTTTCTGCTTTTTCTTTAGCCAATCTTTCCTTTTCTGATTTCTCTTTCTCCATCCTTTCTTTTACTGCTTTTTCTTTGGTCAGTTTTTCTTGTTCCACTCTTTCTCTCTCTGCTTTCTCCTTGGCTAGTTTCTCCTCTTGTTCTCTTTGTATTCGTTCCTCTTGAAGCTTAACTTCTGCCTCTTCTTTGACTTTTTTGGCAGCAAGAGCAGCTTGTCTCTCCTCTTCCTCTTGAGCCAAAACACTATGGACCTCAGCAAGGGCTAGTTTGGCAATCTTTTTGGCTTCAATCTTCTCATGAATAACTCGTAGCTGCTCCTTCAGAGCTGCTTTCAGCTTTCGGCCAATATCCCTGGTAGGATGTTCTGAGAATGAGTGGGACAAAAATTCACATCTCAGAAAGCTCATCATTCATGTCCCATGCAAACACATATATTATATGACTGAGCTATCTTAGGTGACTGAATAACTGTCTACCTTTCATAATTCATGAGTGAGGAAAATTCACATTCAGTTCTTTCATTTAGATTTAAGATTTTGTGATGTTCAGTTTATTTGTGCATTTTATAATATACAGTCTTGGTCAAAAGTTTTGGTAGTAACACATTTTGTGTTTAGCAAAGTTTTCTGCTTAAGCTGTTGTGGTGTTCATTCACAAAAAAAAACAAATTTCACAGTTTTTTTATCCTGACACAAAATGACCAGCTAACATTAATTGATTAATCATATCAGCAGCACGTGAAAGTGTGAATGAGTACTAGTCAGGTGAAAGCACTGTCATACTAATTAGATTGTCAGAGCAGACTGATTGCTATAAAAGGAGGGAAGAAGCGCTTCCAATAATTGTGTTCTTGTTACCAATGGTTACCTCCAAAGAAACACGTGCAACCACCATCGCGTTGCATCAAAATGGCCTCACATGCAGAATATTGCACCTGAAAAACCATTTACTGGATCATCAAGAACTTCAAGGAGAGAGGTTCGACTGCAGTGAAGAAGTCTTCAGGACGTCCCAGAGTGTCCAGCAAGCGCCAGGACCGTCTCCTCCTGAGGAGTCAGCTACGGCATCGGAATGGCAGCAGGTTGGTGTGAGAGCATCTGCACGCACAGTGAGGCCAAGACGTTTTTCTCTGATGAAGCTCCCTTCCGACTGTTTGGGACATCTGGAAAATCGATTTTTCGGAGAAGAAAAGGTGAACGCTACCATGAGTCCTGTGTTGTGTAAACAGTGAAGCATCCTGAGACCATGTGTGGGGTTGTTTTTCAACCAAGGGAGTGGGCTCTCTCATAATTCTGCCCCAAAACACTGCCATGAATAAAGAATGGTATCAAAACATCCTGCAAGAATGACTTCTTCCAACGATCCATGAGAAATTTGGTGATGAACTGTGCATTTTCCAGCATGATGGAGCACCATTTCACAAAGCAAGAATGATAAAGAAGTGGCTCGAAGATTATTACATTAAAATTTTGGATCCGTGGCCAGGCAACTCCCCGGATCTCAATCCCATAGAGAACCTATGGTCAGTCCTCAAAAGGCGAGTGGACAAGCAGAAGCCCACAAATTGTGATCAACTCTAAGAACTAATAAAGCAAGAATGGATCACCATCAGTCAGGATTTGGCCCAGAAGCTAATATCCAGCATGCAAGAGCGAATTACAGAGGTTATTAAGAAAAAGGGTCAACACTGTAAATATTGACTCATTATATTTTTGCCAATAAAAGCATTTAAAACTTATGATATGCTTATCACTGTTTTTCAGTATACCATAGAAACATGTGGGAAAATAAACTACAAATACTGAAGCAGCAACACTTTGCAAAACACAAAATTTATGTCACTGCCAAAACTTTTGGCCATGACTGTATTATTTATCTGTAATTTTAGTTCAAGCCTGTACTGTTTTATTGATTAAGTGACAGTTTGAAAAACAAAGATTCTAATTGTTTTCATTCAAGCGTCTGATGAAAATGCATTGTTGTGCAATTGATGTCCCTTATTTTAAAGCACATGTTAATGCAAGACATTATGTGCTGCACACACACACACACACACAGTTTGTATGTATTTATATATACAAACATAAGTATAATGTATTCTGCAGGAAAAAAAAGTCATGCAGGTTTTGGAACAACATGAGGGTGAGTAAAATATGACCAAATTATTTTTGAGTGTCACTGAAGCTAATTTATTATGCTACTAACTCCATAACTCATGCTAAGTACCTCTGTCTTTTTTACGCCCCACTTCTTTAGATCTCTCATCTGCATTGAAAGAGGGGCAAACAGAAGTTAGAAGAATGAATGACCTGGATTAAGAAGAAAGCGGTGTAATTGTTGCAACTGCCAAGTTAGAGAACACATGCTCTACTAAAATAGCAATCCAATGTCCGGCACAAACACCTTTAGCTGAATACTAAAACATAATTGAAAAATAAATAAATAAATAAAGAATGCTGGTTAAGAGATAGCAAGGAATCATATCAGATGCCATTAGTTCATTCAATAGATACATTTTAAAGGATTAGTTCACACAAAATTGGAAATTCTGTCATCATTTATTCACCCTCATGTCAATCCGTTTATCTTCAGAACACAAATGAAGATATTTTCAATATTTCCTTTCAATATTTACAAAGGATTTTCCTTAAGTTTGTTTTTCCCCCTTAGTATCCAAATAGCATTGTCTGGAGGGGAGAAAATAAGAAGAATGATAAATTGACCCTCACAAATGCACACGCACAGACAGGTAACACTGACTATCACCAGACGATGTCATCCACAGCAATTAAACACTGTAAAACAAAATTAGAAACTTCTAGAACTTTTAGAAAATGATTCTTGTCAGAAGACGTAATCCCGTGGTTGTGATGTTACTGGATTTCAGAAGGGGCAAAAATAATGGTCTGCATCAACTAGTGAGATCACTGGAATTGGGTAAAGAACTGGTCAATGCATTATTAAAACCTAGAAAGTGAATCGACTTTTTGTTCACTATACGTCAAAAAAAATCTTGATCATGATTAGAGATCACCAAAACACTTGAAGTTTCATTAAAACAAATAAAAAATAAATAAAAAATAATAATAAAAAGTTAATTATCATTAACAGCTATGTTTAATAGTGAAATTAAAAGCACTTCCACACCATTCTGAGGACTGAGACTAAACAGATGTGTGCCCACAAGAATGTCACTTGTTAGTGAAGTTAATCATTTAAAAAAAAAAATTAAATTCTAGGGAGCCTAAAGAATTGGCTGTGGAGCATTGGTCAGGAAAGTCCCACAGGAAAGTCACTTGTTAGTGAAGTTAATCATTAAAAAAAAGAAATAAATTTCTAGGAGCATTGGTCAAGTCTAGCCTCTGCAATGTCATGTGGCAGTAAAATGAAGTCAGCGGAGTACTTATATGTACTAAATGACCATCCCATGACAACACTCGCATATTACAGAACAACAATGCTAAAATTCATCTGGCTCAAATTGTTAAAGAGTGGTTCAGGAAGCACAAGGAATCATTTCTACACATGAACTGGGCACCACAGATTCCTCACTTTAACTGCACTCAAATACTTTGGGATGTGCTGGGGAAGACTTTATGGAGTGATTTGACTCTTCAGTCATCAATACAATATTTCAGTGAAAACATTTAGGCATCTGGACAGAAATAAAGGTTGTCAAAACACTGCCACAACTAATGTGAGCCGTAATCATATTAGCTAATTTTAAACATCTTGATTTCGATCTACCGTTTTTGCTGAAATTTAGCTGTCTTCTGTTGGATGCCTTTCACACTCACGGATTAAGAATAAAAGAGAAATGACTGAGATATAAACACTGAGCAATGTGCATACATGGAGCACATCATATGGTAAGCGTAAACTCAAAAGCATGCTTGACATGAGCACCAATGAGGTTTGTTTGTCAAGCTAGCATGGTTGAGCTTCTGTATACACATTGAATAATGTTTATGAAATTTTTTGACTTTCAAAATGATAAGAGAATATTACAAATATATTTATTTGTATTCAGAACATGAACAAAACACTTATGGGTTTGGAAAGACATGAGGCTGAGTAGTGATACACAATATTAGATTTTTGACAATGAAAATATTGTTAAAATATTAATCGGTTATTATCAGTTATTGTTATTGGTAAAATCCACTATCGGTCGATAATGTCAAATGTCAATTCGTGGGGGGGGGTTCACATTATGAAATAAATGTAAAATGTTTTTTTAATTGTTGGCCACAATTATTGGCAGCCCTAGAAATTCTTAGGAATAAAATATCTCTGAAGTATATTCACATTCATATTTACTTTTTTTTTTTTTTTTGCA